AAGCTGGAATACTACCTCCTTAAAGGAAACCCAGATGTGAGGAATTCCCTTCAATGAAGGATGTCAAGAAATTAAGCCAAACCCACTGTTGCCCTTCCTACATCCAATCTGTTCAGGCTCACAAAGCTTAGAGCACAAGATGGAACTCTGCCAGTTTAAATGATCTCCCCTAACAGTGTTCCGGGAGCGCATTTTCAAGATCCGGTAATGCACATTATTTCCTCATGAACACCTTTTTTTCCCCTGTGGTATTTACTTCCAGAAATACTCAAGGAAGGACTGCTGACAAGGAGGGATTAAGGGATCTTAATGCACACAGTGGCAGTACAGACATTGGCCTGAACCTGAAGACCTTCATTCCTTTGCCATTAACCAGAATGTATAAGCATTGAAGCTGAGCCTTTAGGGTAAATGGGGTGCTATCCCACCTCAGGCTCAGCTCCCCTCAGCAAAACAGTCCTGCCTGAGTCCTTGCCACAGATAAAGGTCTCTGCCTGCCTGCTTTTGTATGTGTGTGAGTGTGTTTGTGAGAGAGGGACAGAGGGAGGGAGAAGACACTCTTGCCCATTGGTCTACCCATGATCAGTTGCTGTGCTCTCTGCCCCACCAGTTGCAGTGGTGAATTGCCACTGCCACTGTAATCAAGATTTTAGAGCATGAGTCCTTGCCACAGATAAAGGTCTCTGCTTGCCTGCTTCTGTATGTGTGTGAGAGTGTGTTTGTGAGAGAGGGACGGAGGGAGGGAGAAGACACTCTTGCCCATCGGTCTACCCATGATTGGTTGCTGTGCTCTCTGCCCCACCAGTTGCAGTGGTGAATTGCCACTGCCACTGTAATCAAGATTTTAGAGCAGCATCCTGGGGCCCTCCTAGAGTTAATAAGGTAAGAGTTCTAATCAGCCCTAACCAGCCATGCCAGTAGCAAAAGCAGTCTAGCAACTTCTGAAGGGCCTCAGCCTCATTTGAAAGCTAGCAGAGGTAAACTAATGGGTAGCCTGCTGTTTGGAAAAGAGATGGCAGTTCTGCTAATCACTTTTGAAAAGTCTGAAAAATTGGGGGACAGGTCACGGGGTAGTACTTCCACCCCAAGTACACCACACAAACCACATCACTGCGATCATAACCTCGCCAGCCATTTTGAAATTGTCCCCGTTTCCCTCTCTTATTTCCTCAGACTCTTGCACTTTGGTCTGTAGTCTGTTGGAATATTAACAGACGGTAGCCTTTGTGCTGATGTGAGTGGGGATTTCTTTCTGTTCCCCCACCCCACCTGTTGTCCTAAGCAAAGAGAAAAGTAGTGGCCAAATTCCAGCGCTATTGACCATTCATATTGATGTCCTGTTGTATCTCTGCCAGGGACTGAATTAGGCAAACAGCCTTGTTTGCATGAAATGCCACTGACGTCTCCAAAAGTCTGCAAAACATTTTTTTTTCAAATGCTGATGTTGGGGAGAATTAGTTATATTAACATCTGTTCCCAACAACTAATTATTCCCCCCACCAACAGCCCTTGGGGGTTCAGAATTTCTCCTTGGAGGAGAAGACTGCTTTATATTGTGACTGGTTATCTCCAAAGCAAGTGGTAAGACTTACTTTAGCAGGCACACCCAAGCCAAAAGAACTCTGGGTTTGTGTCAACTTTCATGTGAAATCATGATCTCAATTATTACTTGAAAGCAAACCAGCAGAAGTCCTGCTGATGGTAGAGGTCTGGAGGAAATGGGAAAAAGAACAAAGAATCATCTTGCAGCAGGTTGTCAACATTTTCTGAGGCAGACATATTTTTCTTGACATTTCAATTGGGTGAGGGGTTGCATTTTTCATTTTTTTGAAAAGAGAAGAAAGGTTCACTCTATTATACCCACATTAGCATGATTCTGGAAACATAAAGCATGTCTGAGCACTTTGGAATTGCTTTTGTAGTCTTTCTTTTGTGTGTTTTTGGCAGGAATTAGACACATACACTTTATTTTATGTATCCATCTTCAGATCTTTACACATAAATGCACCCATGTCTGTTGTAACATGAGAAACGTTCCTGCTTTAACAAAACAAAATCAAGATGTTCTTTGCTTGCTATAGAAAACTGGAACTACAGTAGGAAGTTGGACTAGGACCTGGAGTAAGCAACTTAATACCTTCCAAATGTTTTAGATTTCATCTCCCAGAATTCAGAACCCTTGCTGATGTAGGTGGGGGCTTTGATGAGTTGTATGCTTAGTCATCTGGAGGGCATCCGGTTGCAAAACCCTATTCTAAAACTTTTAATAATCAGTGCTGTCATTAGGTTGGAATTTTGGGGCACATGTATAGGATCCTCCTTCCAGGAAAAAAATGTAATACCCTTATTGTCAAAGGAGGCCCTTTCCCCTGTTAAGACTGTTCAGTGCTGACCCAACTGAATCTCCCTTCTTTTCCTATAGTCCGCTTCTTCCTTGGGCACTCTTAACCTTTCCCAAGCTCCAGTACATGGGTCTTCCATCCAAACCCACTCCCACCTTGGTGGTAGCTGTTCTTCCTTCCTTTTTATATCTGCTGTTCCCTCCTCTGTCTCCACCCTCTTCTTCAGCTCCTTTTGCACCCTTTCTCCCTGAGCCTTTCCAACAGTCAGTCTTTGCATCTCTCCTTCTAGCTCATCTGTCTCTGTCCCTTGCTGCTCTGTCTTTTTGAGTGTTGTGACAGGCTGGGTTTGTACTTCCTTCTCTTCTGTATGGAGGAGGGACGGCTCTCTGGCGAGTGGGATACCCCTGCGTCCTGTCTCACACACTGTATATTACTGAACTTTCATGGTCTGTGAACAAAAGATGTCATAATGTAATTACTACTGGGGAAAACTGTATTGCTGCTCCCTGAGTTCCTATTTCTATTGCTCTCCACTACAACCCCATGATCTTTCCTAGATAGTCATCTCCAGATCTAGGTAATATATGAGAAGCTGATAAAAGTGAGAGGGCAACACAGAAGGGTCTGCTGTTCAAAGCAAAGTAATGCTTTGGACAGAGGGGGAACCTGTTACATAGCAAGTAGGCTCTGCTAGGCCTGTGCAAATATCGCAGGGAAACAGTAACAAATGAATGAGAATAATGATGTGTACTTCACCACCAAAAAAAGGAGAGAGTAATAAATGTGGTACTTTGAAGTGCTGAATAATTTGGCCACGAGGGATTCTGGGAATTGCAGTCCCCAAAAAGGAGCTCTTCCATGCTCTGTGCATAATGTAAAAAAACAGAATATCTTTCATGACCAAAACCTGAAGCTGTGGAGAAGGGTCTGCCATTCAAGACATTAACGAGAGCAGTCATTCATGATTTGCTGATTTGGGGCTCGGCATGAATCCCTTGCCTATAAGCCTGAAAGCCTCCAAGGTGCACATAAACACCAAGTTAGAGCTGGCTTCTCGCACCAACATTTCAGCAGGAAGGGTCCTGACTAGGAACTTGTGTACCTAGTCAAGGGTTAAAAGCTGTGCACACTAGCAAACATTGAGGAAACATGCCAAGCCAAAGAAAGGGGAGGGAGGTTGTTAGCCTTGGGGAGGGGAGGGTGTGCTATGTGGAAGATCAGATAGTAACCTAGGAACAAATACTTCCATCTCGGAGATCTTTGCTGAGTCCACGGTTAAAGGTGCATTGCTTAGTACTCTGGCACAAGTTGTCACGGCCAGCCTGGATACTCTGTGCTGGACTATGTCTTATCTGCAGCTGCTTAAGTGTTCCCCCTGTCTTCTGCTCTGTGAAAAAAAGCCATTTCCAGTCAGATAAATTTTCAACTTGGGGGGGAAAGAGGGTATTCTATTATACTTCTGGACACCACCTCTCTTCATGTTGCTGTTTGGGGGGGAGGCGGAAAAGGGAGCTTGTGCCAAAAGGGATTAAGCCTGGTCATCTGATGACTGAACTTGGTTCTTGTGAGATGTTTGCCAAGGGGGTCCTTTTGATACGATTGATGCCAGGGCTTGCTTCTGCAGCATTATACTGTTACCTGCTTCCACAGAGACCAGAATACCTCTGTAGAAGGACTGTAGTTCGTATACGTGACACTGTCTGGTGCCACACAGACCTATGAAATTGCTTTGCCATTGACTAAGAATATATGAACCTTGCTCTCCAGTCTGTCTACAAAAGAGCAACTGGTCTGGCCTATGCCATATTGGCAAGAATCAAAAACACACGTAGCTCTGCATAAGCTTAATGAAAGATGATGACTTGAAAGACATCTGCATGAGGCTTAATACCTTGTGTGTCACCTTTAAAGCCACTCTGCACAGGTTGATTGGATATGTGTTGAGGGAAAGCTCATTCTCCCTGCCCAATGGATGTTGCTTTGATGATCACTGCATAAGACATTTAAAGCAATATCTGTATTTGCTCTTATAACCTCCGGTTGTGTCCAGTGCAGTTGCGTTCAGCTAGTGCAAAGCTTCCACCATTTGCAGAAACCTGCTTTCTGTTCCTTTTCTGTTCTTGGGTGAGTGCCAAATCCAGTATAGTGGTTTACTGGTGTGAGGCATTCCACTAACTGTTGCACAAGGTGTTGTGGAACTCACAGTGACTTTATTTAGCAAGCCACTCATTCTGCTAGTTATTTTGCAAGCAGATATGTAATATGTATGCATCTATATGGGATAGGAAGAGAGGAACCTCAGCTTAGTGGACCTAGGTGGTCTTGCCTTTGATGTTACTTTCTTTCTCTATTTTAACACCTCTGCGGTTGGGATTTGTATCATTGTCATGTGCTATCAAGTCAATTCTGATTTATGGTGACCCTTTTGCAGGGTTTTCTAGGTAGAGAGTGCTCAGAAGTGGTTTACCATTCCCACTTTCTGGGGGTACACTAGGACTGTGCAGCTTGCCCAAGGACGCACAGGTGGGGTCTTTTGGTAGGCATAGTGGGGAATTGAACTCCCAACCTCTGGTTCTGCAAGATATCTGAAATAAATTATTAACTGGTTCAAATGTTGGACTGAGTTTATTTATGCTTGGAACTGTGATCTCTTTGCAGCCATCATGACCCACCAATTTCTAGCGCTCTCCCCAGAGCAGAAGAAGGAGTTGTCTGGCATAGCCCAGAGGATAGTGGCTTCAGGCAAAGGAATCCTGGCTGCAGATGAATCTGTGGGTGAGTTTTATCAAATAATCATTGCCGACATTATGTTGTCTCTCCTCTTGAGATAATGAGAGAACTCAAGCTGAGTACAACTTGAGTAGCTGTTCAAGAAGGTGCTCCATTCGTAGCAGAGATCAAGCCTATATTCCAAATGGTCATACACGTGTCAAAGAAGGAATCTCTATACCTTTGCTTGTGATCACAAGGTAGAGCCCCTTTCTCATTAGTACAGCACCTGCCAGGTTCCTCCAGGAAAAATTATTTACGTGTATAAAACTGTTGATACTGGAAGAAAGTTTTTTTGGTTTTTGTGAGCAAAGCATGTTTTTGTATGAAGAGGCATTTAAGAATTTGCCATCAGAAATGGTGCACTCCAGGAAGGACTGTACCACATGGAAATTCTAGACACGTCAGCTATTGTGACAAAAATATTTGAGCATTGCCTTTCCACATGGGTCCCTAGTACTTTGCCCACTAAGATAATTGAACCAAGGACTAAGGGGAAAGAGACATAAAGTTGCATGCATTTTGAACTACAAACAACATAGTCTCTAACTCAGGGTGCTTCTTCGCAGGTACTATGGGTAACAGGCTGCAACGCATCAAAGTGGAGAACACTGAAGAGAATCGTCGTACCTTCCGTGAGATCCTCTTCTCCTCAGACGCCTCCATCAGCCAGCAGATTGGAGGAGTTATATTCTTCCATGAGACACTCTATCAGAAGGACAGCAAAGGAAAGCCCTTCCCAGCTGTCATCAAGGACAAGGGCATCGTGGTTGGGATCAAGGTGAATGTTTTTAAGATCCTTTTCTAGAGGTACCCATAGAAAAGCAGGAATGCCCACCAAATGCCTGTGCTTCTCAATGCAACTTGTTGAAAGAAGAAATGGTTAGAGGCACATGGTACCTTAGCAAATAGAGACAGTGGTGTAGGAAGCTGTTACACTGATACTGTGAAGACCATTTGTTGGGGCCATGTGGTTTAGTTGCCCAACAGAATGCAGATAAAACAAAACCAATCTATAGTTATGCAAAGTCACAGATCAAGAATCCACCAAGTGCTATCATTGCTCAAGGAGTCCTCAGCTGAGATGCCCAGGATAGATGATGCTGGTGAGTTGAGGGCCCAGAGTTTTGCACCTATGTCTCTCCAAAGACTGCACTGTCTATGAGAAATGCAAGTATGGGGTGGGGGTGTTACATCAGGACTAGCTGGAAATCTACTTTCATTTTTGAACAGTTGGCCTTTGTTTGTGTATGTTAAATGGTGCAGAATGGGGCTGCAACCTATTTAAAAGACAAATCACAACTCCTAGAAGAGAGACCTTAACAAGGATGGGACTAGATACTGCAAATACGGCCTTGGACATCCACATTTTGCCCATTGACATGCAATGAACATGTCCTCTCCCTATTTTACTAACAGTTGGGTTAAATATTCACAGCTGGATAAAGGCATGGCTCCATTGGCAGGAACAAACGGTGAAAGCACCATTCAAGGTGAGCTTCTAATATTTGTATTCTCCCCAATTTATCCTCACTTCCATTCTGTGAGCAGTCAAGCTTAGAGAAGGTAACTGACACAGGGCCACCTTGTGAAATTACTGGCAGAGTGGAGACTACATAATGGCTGATCCAAACTCCATCCAACACTATGACCATTGAGGTGTGCTGGCTCTTTCTTGAGTTCTCTGTGATGTTAGAGAATGTCAATAAACTTCAGAAATGGAAGAGTCAATCATTAAAATACTGACAATCAGTGCAGTTGATTTGTTGACTTCTTTTAACGGCTGGTTGAAAAAATTTACATAGAAACTATAAAAAGGAACTTGGGAGATGACAAGATTTTTAATCCAGAAAGTCGGGAGGATAAAAAATCCAGAGTAGCAAGAATGATGTCCAACCAAAAAAGCAGAGATGTAAAATAGGGGCAATGCTGGCAGGCAATTGAACAAAGCACAAAAATATCTACAATTTTGATAGGACTACTCTAGATCTAACCACCTACCCTTGGAATACATGATTTCCAAAGGAGACATGTAACATATCTCATATAAACACTGTATATATATTTAGAAGATACCATAATACCTTTCTGTATTTGTCCTCAGGTCTGGATGGTCTTGCTGAACGTTGTGCCCAGTATAAGAAAGATGGAGCTGACTTTGGGAAGTGGCGCGCTGTTCTGAAAATCTCAGATACAACTCCCTCCACTCTAGCCATTCAGGAGAATGCTAACACGTTGGCACGTTATGCCAGTATCTGCCAACAGGTATATCCTCCCCACAAGTACTGGTGTGTTTCCAGCTTGAGTGAGGGCTTGGTTGGATGTGAATATTTGCTTTCTTTCTTGTTGTCCATAGCCTTCACTAAACACAATCATTGGCTATCCAGATTTCCATTAAATTGTCACTATCATTGTTTTCAGAATGGACTGGTCCCTATCGTGGAACCTGAGATCCTGCCTGATGGAGACCATGATCTCCAGCGGTGCCAGTATGTGACAGAGAAGGTAAGAGTCGTACTTACTGGCATTGCCCCATTTTGCCCCCCAAAGTGATTAAAAGCCCTTTAAGTAATCTGCCCCTGCCATATTTTCTGCAAGTTTAATACGATCTGCTTTTTTTCTTGCTGCTGATAGCAACAAATCATGATTTTATTTTATTTTTTTTAAGCAAGGGGGAGAGAGATCTTTCCACTCCCCGTTTCTCCCACATCTGGTGGGATGGCTCACTTTCTGGGTGAAGAGCTGGACTTTGCCTGTAGTATCTTCCTGAGCTCTTTGTACAAAACATTTTTATGTAGGAAGGCTTCCTTAAGGGATGTTCCCTTAGTTTACAAACTTATTGTGTGAAAGATATGGTGCGTTGAATGTTAGAAATGACTCACAAATTTTATAAAAGAAGCAAAGGCATTACAGTTTAGATACAATACAGACATCGTTTGCTGGGTCAGAAACTGGTTTCATATGTGTGTGTGTGTGCCATCAGGTTAATTCTAACTCATGGTGACCCTTTTCAAGGTGTTCCACTTAGAGAATACTTGGAAGTGGTTTCCTTTTCCCTTTTTCTGGAGGCATCCTGGGACTGAGTAGCTTGCCCAAGGCCACACAAGATAGCTCTTCACTCAGGAGGCACAGTGGAGAATCTTACTCCTGATTTCTGGCTCCATAGCCAGACGGCTATCCCATTGAGCTGGAAAGCAGTTTTTGTGGTGAAAAGAGAAAATGTGGATGGCACAGTTTTAGCTCTTTGTTTAAAAATGGAGGAACTTTCTGAGCAAAGGTAGGTAACAGGTAGCACCCTGACTAATAAAGAAAACACTGAAACAGCAAACAGACTCTTTAATCAGCAATGCCAGAGCATCAATCTTTTTGGCTGAACAATGCAAGATAATAAGATTATAAGGAGTGGTGCTGGTTCAAACCCAAGGCCTATCCAGTCCAGCTTTCTCCTCTTACAGTCAGTGGCCAGTCAGATGCCTCAGGGTCCCCCACAAGTATGATATGGAAGCAACCATACTTTTCTACTTGTGTTTTTGTTGTTGTTAAATTGTACTGAGAGACATATTTCCTCTGGTACTAGAGGTACTTCATAAACATCATGATCAGTAGCCACTGAAAGACTTAAGTAGTGACGATGTAGCTAGAAGGGAAGGAACATTTTTCTCTATATCATTTTTAATCTCTATTTGGTATTAGAACCTCAGTCAAGGAATGTGTGTTATTGAGCTGCAATTTCCATCATCCCTCATCATTGGCTGTGCTGCATAGTGCTGATAAAAGCTGCAGTGCAACAAGCTTTGGAGGGCCACACATTCCCTTCACCCACTGGTTTAGCTGTGTGGGATAGCCTCTGCTCCTTGTAAAACAGGAGTGGACAAAGCAGGATGCATGTACCTCCGAAGGCCCAGATGCAATCCTGCCAATGCCCCATCCCCCACTTTTTATGTGGGTAAAGCCCTGTATGTTTTCTCCAAGGTATGGGAAGGAATGTTGTTACGTTTGAAAGCCCCGATCTCCCCTTTTTGTAAAATTACAAAAAGGAGGGGGCCACCACAGGTCATGAAATATCTTTTTCAATTAAAAATATCACAAATATTTTAAAAGACAAGTATTGTGGAGGGATTCATAGGACCTGTGAGTGGGTACAGCCCATCAAATTCCAGGTGTGTGTTTGTTCAGCCTTTGGACTTCTGGAGCTTGCCTGTCTTCTAGTGATAAAAAATAAATTTCTGCTGCCAACAGAGTAGTCCCTGCCTAAGGTTACAGTCTTGTGCACCTTCACTTGGGACTACATGTGCTGAATAAATTGGGACTTGCATTTTTAAGTAAATATGCTTGTAGTTGTGCTATAGTGACTTCACCTTGAATATGTCTTGTGTCCCAGGTCCTGGCGGCTGTTTATAAGGCTCTGAATGATCACCACGTCTACCTGGAGGGGACCCTGCTAAAGCCCAACATGGTGACTGCTGGTCATTCTTGCACCAAGAAGTACACCCCTGAAGAGGTGGCCATGGCCACAGTCACAGCTCTATCCCGCACCGTTCCTGCTGCAGTTCCTGGTAATGATGTCTCCTCAATATATAGTTTGTTATCTTTTCCTTC